ATTACAACCATTTTATACTCCAACCTATTACCTACTCGTATGCCTAACTTCTAATGAATGAATCTATCTGAAAAGGTCAGGTATGAATTCATTAACTATATCAATACATTTTTCGAAAGTACCGTAATTTACCAAATATTTTCATCTTTGATGTGCAGAAAATCTGAAATATTTGTAATGGGTTGGTCTAAGTAGGTTAAGTTTGTATAACTTTCATCCTCTTCTCTTCGAATTGGGTAAACTCCTTTCGAAGCTTGACTGTATAACTTTTATGATAATAAAGAATGTATTAGACTGCTATCGTTATCATTGTTGACGGCTATTTGTTTTATTAGGTTCAGTTCTTTATTGAAATTCGCCTCTGACAAGGGCACATTTATCAGACTGTGGATCATACTGTTGAAAGCTGCTACTTTGTGCTGATACGGGTGGGTAGACGAATTATGAATGATAATATCTGTATGTGCCGGTTTACGATAAATGGAAAAATCATGTTTGTTCTTAACTTTCTTATTGTCACGTCCAAAAAATGTATAGAGTCGTCCTTTTCGATCTCCATTATAAATATGATAGAAAGGTGGAGAGAATTGATGAAATTCTAGAAGTTAGTCAACTGTCTATTCGTTCCTGAGAAAACAAGTATGATATCCACATATCTATATACAGAAGACTTTTTACTAGTGGGTTATTGCGTATTTTTCTCTCCAGATTGTCCATGTAATATTCTTTATACTGAAAATCGTACAATAAATTGTATTGATTACTTTCAGAAAATTAATATTTACCACCATACGTCCACTCATAAGTTCAAAAACTTTCCAAGTAAACAAATGCACTTAATAGTGTTTTGATTACTGTTATTATTTCTCAACCTATTGCCTTCATATTTAGTGTTTGCTGCGATTTGAAAAAAGAATCCTGAACAGAAATTGTTCACTATTGCGAAAGTTGCGTGAATACTACTCAAAAAAAATGTTTTATATATAGGTCAACAGACATTTTTTGTTTTTACAGTGTTGATTTTGATGACTCTTCTACTAGATGGATGAGAATCTGTGACAATCATCAATATTTGATAACTGTAGTTCGAGAGATAATTTCAAGCTGTTTTCATTGGTTATTATGACATAGGTTGTGCTACTTTTCAGTTTTGGATATATTACGATTGAAATATGTGAGTATTGAACGAAGAAAACACTAATTGGAAAGAGTTTAAGGTGAGTAAGCAAATCTCTTTCTAAATCAACTACATGTATGTTTGTCAAGTTAGAATGTTTCCCAAAATTTGATACTTCATTTTCAAAGGCCAGAAAAGCTCCTAATTCACTCAAAATACCTGTCTATTTATCATTTTTTCCCGTTTTCTGGGTCACGATCAGTGAGAATGATCATATATATGATACATATATTTGGAATCATCTGAATCTGGTTGCTTCCTTACAGTAGATTGGTGTAGTATTTATGAGGTTGTATAAGTGTAGGGAAGGGTATCGGTAGTGTAGGTTATGTATGTTGCGTAGTATCCTTCTTTCGGTCGTAAAGATGCGGTGGGACAGTCTCGGAGGAAGCATACAGTATATCATTGCTTTGTAGTCGAGGACTGGTCTTATAAAGGTATTATAGGTATGAAGCATAGTTCTACTGTCGCATTCCCCAAGTTTTCCTCTCAGAGCTTTTAGAAGGTTAGCTCTCTTCCGGACTTTGTCCAGATAATATTTACCACCATACGTCCACTCATAAGTTCAAAAACTCCAGAAAATGTATAGATTCGTCTTGTTCCATCTCCACTGTGAATGTGATAGATGGGTGAAAATAATTTATGAGCTTCAAAAAGTTTGTCAACTGTCTGTTCGTTCCCGATATGTTCCACATATCTATATCAATACAGGAAACTTCTTACCAGTGGGTTACTGTGTATTCTTCTCTCCAAATCGTCCATGAAAATCTCTGCCCGAATAGGACTAAGTGGGTTTCCCATTATGAGACCTTTGCAAGATGAGTAAAACTTGTCATTGAATTGGAAGTAATTCTGTGACAAACATACCGTAAGCAAGTCTAATATTTCATTTTTCACTACTTGATTGATAGAGTTTTTGTCCAATAGATTCTCCACCAAAGTAATCGTTTCATTCGAAGGGATACTGGAAAACAGATTCTTTACATCGAATGAAATCAATTTGGCATTATCTGGGAGAGTAATATCTCGAATTTCATTGATCAAATGGTATGAATTCTTCAAACTGAATTTCGATTTGAAATTGGTGTGGTTTTGAATAATTACAATGAGTTTTTCGGATATTTTAACTGAGGGAGCTGTGACGAAAGAATAATGCCAAATTGATTTCATTCGATGTAAAGAATCTGTTTCCCAGTATCCCTCCGAATGAAACGATTACTTTGGTGGAGAATCTATTGGACAAAAATGTAATTCAATATTCAGTCAGCTGCAAAAAATGAAAAAACTTAAAATTCAGATTTGAAAGGGTTATATTTTTAGGAGTGTATTTCAAGCGAAAATCTATGCTATTGAATTGTGTGGCGTATGAAGCTCTCAGCTGCTAATGAGCAACGTCTAAATTACCAAAAACCACCCTGAGCTTCTTGAAAACTCATAGTTTGGTCTATTCTGGTATAGTTCGTTTATGGAGGGTTTCATTTGGGAAAACCGAGAAAAATGTGACTACTCTTTCATGAAAAAAGCGTAACTCAGTAAAATTAGGAATGGAAAATGAAAAAGATTTGATGAAAAAAATCTCATTTCATTCAATCTTGTAGGAGATGTTGTGAAAAAAACATAGGGTGTTCTGTCTACAGAAGACAACTTTGATAAGTCAAAAATTTATTCAGAAACGTGTATGTTGATGGTTATTTTTTAAACAAATGGAAAATTACCCTATACAGCTTCCATTTGAGACATTTTTCATCTCAAATAGGAAGTTAGATTTGTTAATCAAGAGACTAATATNATTTTTATGTGGTAATACTTGCTTACCCACACCAAGCTGTTTACTAGGTCAATCTCACTTCGAGAAACGATAATAAGCATCATATGATATTGAAATACTTTGATGAACCTACCAATAATACCGTTTGTTATTGAAAAGACGTGGCCTACAGTACAAATAATGATTTGGGCAAATATATTGCAAACAATGAAGACAAAACTCCAATGTAGTAGTATATGAGTCGACTTGTGGTTCCTGCTTGAAACTTTATATTGGCCAAACGAGGAGAACCTTTTTCCAAAGAATGAAAGTCCATAAGAATAGTCTCTTCAATTTGAAAACCAATTCCACAATTGCAAACCATCTTTTGGTAAAGGGGCAAGAGTTCAACCGCAACTATGACATTTGGAAGGAAAAATTTCAAAAACTCACTTCTTTGGAACGCTTAGAAATAATAGATTTACACGTTCTGAGATTTTACTAAATAGAATTGAGTTATTACCCTCTGTTGAATTTGTTTTCTATTGTGGAGATTGGTAAATAGTGGATTATATGTGTATTGAACGAGTTTGTAAAATTAATTTCATGATATTTTGATTTTTAATTTGTTTCGGTTATTTTATCATGTGGTTATTATTCGGTTCGATTATCAGGCGGTTACCGAAATTCCATGAAATTACACTTCAAACTTATTGCAATATACTCAAAACTCATTTCATGATGAGTTAATGATAATAAGAAAGTAATTGAGAATCAAAGCAATGTTCTTTTCAGATGGTAACGTTGTTTAAAACACCTTGTCAACTTGTTTTGTATGTTACAAAATTAGTTGTCAGTATTTTAATTCAAGTTTAAAGTTCCTTAACTTCAAGTCTGACAAATGGATAGATTAACGGAAATGCATATAGTTACAGTTTTACAAATGATTGGTTAGGGGGATAAAACCTGAACACAACAGGAAGTAGCTCGCCTATTTCTTGAGAAATTTTCTAATTTACCGTCCATATCTCAAGGAACAACTAGCAAAATAGAGAATCAGTTTCGCGAGCTTGATCATATGGAGCAGATAAAAAAAGCAGCTGCCCATACAATGAGTGTTGAACTCAAATTGGATGTGATGCTTGAATTTGAGAAAAACCCACTTACATCGAGGAGACAGGCATCCACTTTATTCAATGTTAGCCATACATCGATAGTAAACATATTAAAAGAAAATAAACTGCATGCCCATAATATGATACCTGCGCAGGAACTCATAGAAGACGATTTTGATAGAAGAACCTATTTTTGTGAGCAAATAATGGACAAATTGGATAACAATATCATCCAATTAGAAGACGTTATGGACAACTTGGGTGGCGATAATTATTTGGGACTACTTCAAAATAATGTCATTCCAAGTTTAGCAAATTTATATCCTGATCCAGGAAACCCTCAAGGTCCAGTGAATCGATATGGTTTCAGCAGGATGGAGCACCACCACATTACCAATATCCGGCAATACTTCGATACATAATTTCCCAATCGGTGGATATTGAGGAGAGGATCAATTGAATGGCCAGCGCGATCACCCGATCTTTCTTCATTAGATATTATTAGATTTTTTTATGGAGATATGTAAAAACGTGTACAAAACCAAACCTTCAGATTTGAATGACTTAAAAGAACGAGTAACGCTTAAGATTTTATTTTATTTTATCCTAATTGTTGCAATAAAACTGAAAACAGTAACATTTTCGAATAGGGAATGAAGAGATCTTACAAACAATATATCATCAACCTATACTTTCCATTTAAAAAATTGGAGGTTCTACCTGTCATTCGAAGAGGATTAAAGGTAAGGGTGGACTTTTCACGTTGAAGAATATCTAATTATAAATTATATTTGACGTGTTTCGGGATTTGTTTTGAATATGTACAGTAACTGAAATAATGAATTCATTCCAGTTGGCTGTTACACACTGTATAACTTCAAAACACCATCTTACAATAAACGTTAAAACTAGATTAATTTCTACGGTCATTTTTACATTGAACGCTTGAACAATCACTCACCCATAATCCTATTTTACATCGCCATGCAGCGATTTCATCAGAAACTACCTGTTCCAACTTGTTCAATATGAAACAAAAACAATTAGACACGAACATAACTATTATCAGGAGAGACGTTGATAAAATATTGGATGAGTAATTCTTGAGATATCGCCACCTTCCTTGAGATAAAAAATGATTATCGGCTCATTGTGAAATTGAAACTCAATCCAATGATGTAAAACTTTTGGAAATCAATTGCTATGTGAATAACAGAAATAAATCAATATAAATTAAATCAGAATGGAAAGATGTTTGTTCACAAACAAGTTTTATATACTGTTCTATTTTTCACTACTAGCATCAGTATTTATTTCTATCATTCCATACAGGGTACCATGTTCATAATGTACATTTTTCATTATTTTAAAACTATTATTCACTCAGGAATGGCTGAGTCAATTCGCAGAAATGAAAACTTGGTTAGACTCAAAATATCTGTCAAACAAGGTTTCAAACTTTCTTCGAAATTCCATTTCAAAATATTTAATTTCTTACACGTNCCATATCTCAAGGAACAATTAGCAAAATAAAGAAACAGTTTCGCGAGCTTGATCATATGGAGCAGATAAAAAAGCAGCTGCCAATACAATGAGTGTTGAACTCAAATTAGATGTGATGCTTGAATTCGAGAAAAACCCACTTACATCGAGTAGACAGGCTTCCACTACATTTAATGTTAGCCATACATCAATAGTAAACATATTGAAAGAAAATGAACTGCACGACAATAATCTGACACCTGCGCAGGAACTCATGGAAGACGATTTTGATAGAAGAACCTATTTTTGTGAGCAAATAATGGACAAATTGGATAACAATATCATCCAATTAGAAGACGTTATGGACAACTTGGGTGGCGATAATTATTTGGGACTACTTCAAAATAATGTCATTCCAAGTTTAGCAAATTTATATCCTGATCCAGGAAACCCTCAAGGTCCAGTGAATCGATATGGTTTCAGCAGGATGGAGCACCACCACATTACCAATATCCGGCAATACTTCGATACATAATTTCCCAATCGGTGGATATTGAGGAGAGGATCAATTGAATGGCCAGCGCGATCACCCGATCTTTCTTCATTAGATATTATTAGATTTTTTTATGGAGATATGTAAAAACGTGTACAAAACCAAACCTTCAGATTTGAATGACTTAAAAGAACGAGTAACGCTTAAGATTTTATTTTATTTTATCCTAATTGTTGCAATAAAACTGAAAACAGTAACATTTTCGAATAGGGAATGAAGAGACCTTACAAACAATATATCACCAACCTATACTTTCCATTTAAAAAATTGGAGGTTCTACCTGTCATTCGAAGAGGATTAAAGGTAAGGGTGGACTTTTCACGTTGAAGAATATCTAATTATAAATTATATTTGACGTGTTTCGGGATTTGTTTTGAATATGTACAGTAACTGAAATAATGAATTCATTCCAGTTGGCTGTTACACACTGTATAACTTCAAAACACCATCTTACAATAAACGTTAAAACTAGATTAATTTCTACGGTCATTTTTACATTGAACGCTTGAACAATCACTCACCCATAATCCTATTTTACATCGCCATGCAGCGATTTCATCAGAAACTACCTGTTCCAACTTGTTCAATATGAAACAAAAACAATTAGACACGAACATAACTATTATCAGGAGAGACGTTGATAAAATATTGGA